GCACTGCTGAGGGCACTTCCCTTTTCTCCCCCACCTCCCAAGCAGGCTACCTCTGTCTCACAGTTCTGGTCTGCCCCGAACATCCAAAGTTCTACGCTCCCATCCCCGTGCTTATTTGTTTCAGTCGAGGTGTGTCTTGTTTTGCTACTATACTTACTTGATAGGCGCTCTCTTCGCTCACATACCTCTTGAATTCTTGTCTTCAGACATAGGAGGAAAATTCTTAGCTTGTGGGAAACTGTCTTAGTGCTGGGTTATTAATAGAAATGGTTCTTCGGCATATATGGAGTCTCGAACATGCACAAGTAATCTCCCGCGATTATTGACGCTCGGCAACTATCTGCGAAATCTGTAGGTCCGAAGCTCTAAGGCAGAAGGAAAACACCGAGAATCTGTCTTGCAGACGGGATTTCGGAGGTTACCATCACTTCCATGTTTGCAGTTAATGTATACCAAAAAGAAAAAAAGATTTTCCTACAAGCAGTGTTTATGAGGTTGTTGCTCTAGTCGGGAATATGGTGCCAACCACTGCAATAAAGATTTCAGTCAAACTCCCTGTTGGGCGGTTACGCGATTCGAATAAAAGTAAGTGAACGGGACACCTCAGAACTCTAAGTAGTTGAGTTGCTGCTTACTCTCATAATTACCGATTATTCAGGCGTTTGTTGGTGCTCGTGGAAATGCGTCTCTTTAGATATAATTGTGAGAAATAAGAAATAAGCGAATGGGAGCCAAATTGAAGCAACCCTTCTATCACCCCTAATTCCCTGAGCTAAGATGTGTCTGTATCGCTTCTGAAACTAATAGCTTTTGGTAATGAAATGATAGGCGAGGATTTTGTAGCAGCCTCGCCAACCCACTCAACTTTCAAATTAATAGGGCTATTGCACTGAATCAATTCGAAAGCCTTTGTGAGTGAATCAATACTACGCCTACTGAAATGCATTTAGTAGGCATTTGAGTATTGTGTAAGAATGCACGGCGAGAATGATTAGTGAGGCCAAGGCGATATTGGGAAACGAAGGTCCTTCTGTCTTACGGGCACCTGGGAATAGGGGTTATAAGGGTGGGGTAGTAAACTGACAAGCTGTAGACGGCGATAAATGAAAATAATAATAGGAATA